AAGCAGGAAGTGAGAACCAATCTTCTTGTATCTCCCTTCATTAGGCCAGTTAATCTTGTGGTGTTGGGTTATTTTTATGATCACAATCATTTCAGGGGCACAGCGCTGCAGTCATATAGTCCCTGGCTCTCAGAGGAATGCAGTTACTAAATACAAGCAGTGTGAATTGCATAATAAAGTAAAATAGCTGTAGGTTAAGTAAGCAGGAAGTGAGAACCAATCTTCTTGTATCTCCCTTCATTAGGCCAGTTAATCTTGTGGTGTTGGGTTATTTTTATGATCACAATCATTTCAGGGGCACAGCGCTGCAGTCATATAGTCCCTGGCTCTCAGAGGAATGCAGTTACTAAATACAAGCAGTGTGAATTGCATAATAAAGTAAAATAGCTGTAGGTTAAGTAAGGGCTACATGTAATTATTAGTTCTGTTAAGGGTTGTTATGAATCTCAGAGCAAGGCTACAAAGTGAGGCATCAGTTGAGCTAATGTGAAATAGAATGAAGCTAAAATGCGGTATCACATGTGTTTTCCCCTAGGTCTCTCATTCCAGCCTTGGTTTTCCTGGCAGTCCTCACTTTTACCTGTTACGTTAGTCTCTTCATTTCACACCGCTCCTTGCACATGCATGCCGCTTGGTTCCTAAAGGGTCACAAAGCAGAGCTGTGGCTCATCCGAATTCTGGTATGTTAAATGTGAGCACTGTTATTTATAGAAGAGCTACACGGTCATGCTCAGGCAGCATTAAAGGTGGCAAAGTTCAGATGCACAATGTCAGGAAAGGCAGGTGTTACGATTCCTACCCCAGTGTTAACTCACTCAGGGGCGGCCCTAGACTAGCTGCCAACAACTGGCACCTTAGATGAACCATGCAATCGGCACCCTCGCCTCCAAACCCCTCAATGATATTGCGCCACCATTTGGTGCCCCATTTAACTTGGTGACCGCCTAGTTCACCTATATGGACGGGCTGCCCCTGAACTCACGTCCCTGTCATGTATCTTCAGGTTTCCCTTGTGTGTCGGTTCCCCATCTGTTGACAGCATGGGAGTCAATAGGAGGAAGTTAAGGCCCCTCCTCTGTTTCATGATGTTTCACATCATCTAGGCTGACAATCATGGTCAGCTGGTAATGTAGGCAAGGGAAGGCATTGCCTTCCCAAAACTGCCTGCACTGCCCGCTGTCCGGGAGGAACTGGGGCCATGCCGCATGGCAGCCCTGGTTCCCAGCAGTTGGGAAGGGCTAGTCCCATGCTGTGCAGCAGCCACGTCTCTTAGCTGGGATTGGGTGGAAGTTGGCTGTGGGAGGAGTTGTTGAAAAGGGTGGGGCTTCGGGCAGAAGGGGTGGGCCTTTGTCTTGCCTTCCCCTGCCGCCCATGCTGACTATCCAGATTGCCCCCAAATGGTCCTTAATCCATTATGGATTGGTAACCCTCTACACATTTCTCAGGGCTTCTTTCTTCCGCCTTTCCCTTTTGCTCCATGCTCTGAAGGGATTGATCCCCTGACCTTGAGAACTTAGGCTATTTGTGCTCAGTACCTTGCATTGAGGCAATGAAGTTGAGTATCTTCAGTCCCATGTGATCCTCTCTCTACCTCCCCACAGCAGAAACGAGCTCTAAAGCTGCTACCTCATCACTCCCAACCAAGAAACCCTACACACCCTCGCTGTCTGGTGTACCCTAACCCTGTCCCTGACTGAAATGTGCTCTCTTATCCTCCCCGTCGATTGCTTGATACCTAACTGGGAACATGCAGTGGAAAAGTGGGTTGGGTGAGAATACAAGCCTGAGACCAGGGACGATTTCTCAGCGGAAGGCAGCCTGTGAAAACAAGAGTCTCTCCATCACAGGCCTGACCTACCCCAGATGCATGTTCCCTCCCCAGCTTGTCTCCCCACAACTTGCTACAGTCAGGTTCCGGGACTCACTCTCCATTGACAGACAATGCAGCCTTTGGACCCATCAGTATCACACCGACTTTCAATAAGATGAATCCCATTTGGCTCAGTGTTGAGTAGTGTTCCCTCTAATTTTTTTCCATCCATGTGCACCACCAATAGAAACACATGCTGCCAGCTGTGGGTGCTCTGCTAATCATCTGGATGGTACCTGAATCTCTCCTGGGTGGCCTCCCAAGCCCTTAGCTCACAGGAAACACTGGTGTCGAGGGAAGGCTGAATAGGAATTATGTATTGCTGTTTGTGGCCCAAATCGCACTCCACAGAACAAGCCTGAATTTATTAAGACAGGCATGGTGAAGGGTGAGGGTGAAGAACTGCACTTATCAGTAAAGATGGACTCCATCAACCCAGGCTGTAGTGCAGCCTTTATACACCTACTTATGTAGCTGGTGCATTATCCTGTCAGGGCCCAATATGGAACCACCAGTTCTTTTGGTAGCATCCTTAGCTGCAGCCCCTGACCAACAGCCTTAAAGGCCTACAGGCCCACAGCAGCCAGGCCCACACACTGGCCTCATTAGATAGAAAGGCAGCACTCTCCATGGTTACTTTATAAAGGTCCCAACAAGAAGTGGAAGTTGTCTGAGCAATATACCATTGCCGGCTGCTGAGGCTGCCTTGCCTGTCCCTCCCTTACTGCCTCGCCCCCATCAACCCACTGACTTGACTCCATGTCTAGGATCTTCTGGCTGATCCCTGTAGAGTTCTGATCATTGGCCTGGACAGTCTCTGGTATGGATTGACTTGCTGGCTAGCCAACCACTGTACACACTTGACTACTGCTTTGGACTGCTCTCTTGCCTGCCTTAGTCACTGGGCATTATGTCCTCTCCCTGGAGGGGATGGCTGACAATCTGCAAAGTTTGTGCATCTACCAGCCTTACCCCTTCCCACAAACCCCTCTCTGCAGTAGGTCACAAGGCGTTGCTGTGAAGTAAGCCATGTCCCTATTGAATGGGCTTTCTGTATCCTGCCCCCTACCCCAATGCACCATACTAGTGCCAGATTAACCACCCATTGGGGCATGGAGGAGGGGCAGGTTTAGAGGTAAGAGCATTTGTTTCTCATCCTCACTTGGTTCATCGTTATTCTACATGGCAGGTGCAAAACGGGATTGCGCTGTATGCAACATGGACCACAATTGCCACTCTGCTGAATTTTGCCGTGGTGCTGATCTTCAGTGGGAACATATCTAATAAGATTGCAACAACAACCTCTCTGGCCATCCTTACCTTTGAACTGGTAATATGGTAGGTGACACTGAGAGGCTCCCATTTGCCCCTCAAGGTACCTGGATGCTGCTTACTTCTTGACTCTTTGTGAGTAGCATCAGGGTCATGCTTAAGGTTGCCAGATGGTTGAACCAAAAACACCACCACCCCCCACATAAAAAAACACCAGGGAAAAAATTCTGTGGAGGGGGGGGGGAAGAGGAGGGGGGGGACCAAAGTTATTGAGCAAAAAAAAAAAGGAAAAGAAAAAAGGACTCCAAGACTTAAACAAAACAAAAAACAAACAAAAAAACCCCCCCAGCATTGAAACAGCATGGCCCCTTTCAGAGTGCGTGCAGAGTTAGAATAGGGATAGGAACAGGGGAGCGGTTGAGCACTAAGTCCTAGGGAAGGCATTGCTTCCCCTTGGTCTTTAGGTTTTTGCTGGCAGCCATTTGTTCAAACCAGAACTTAGCTTCCCTGCAGAACCAGGTAAGCATGGGGTCCACGGGTGGGGGGTGTCAGGGCCCGGGGATGAGCAGATGGGGAGGCTGGGTCCGGGCACTAGGGTTGCTAGGTGTCCGGTATTTAGGGTTGCCAGGTGTTTGGTTTTCTACCGGACAGTCTGGTATTTGCACCATCTGTCCGGTAGAAAAATTCAGAAAATACTGGACATGTGCAATGTCTGGTATTTTCTGAATTCCTGGCTGCACGCCGCATGTCAGGGCCCGGGGATGAGCAGATGGGGAGGCTGGGTCCGGGCACTAGGGTTGCTAGGTGTCCGGTATTTAGGGTTGCCAGGTGTTTGGTTTTCTACCGGACAGTCTGGTATTTGCACCATCTGTCCGGTAGAAAAATTCAGAAAATACTGGACATGTGCAATGTCTGGTATTTTCTGAATTCCTGGCTGCACGCCGCACGGAACCCTGGCGGGAGAGCGACTGGGAGGCAGGGCTGCACACCCCCCCCCCCCCGCCAGCT